ATCCGAATGGCCACTGGAGCTGCTCCAAAAATCCATCCAACACCCAGGAGGCCATCGAGGAGCCCCCAACAAGGGGATGCAGGAGGGTCCCGCGTCCCACTCACTCTGGCTGGGCTCTCCCTGCCTTGAGCTTAACTCCCGGTGCCACCCTGTCACCATCTGCCCACCCTCTGCACCGCACCTGGCTGCAGACGCTGGCCGTGCTCCATCCCCTCCCGAGGCTCAGCCAAGGCAAGCGGTGCTCTGAGATGCTCAGCGCATGCCTCAAACAAATAAAAATAACTGCGAGAGAAGACACCGAGCGCCCAGCCGCTAGCCTCGGCTTAAACACCTCCCGTTCGCAACGCTCCGGCGTCAGCGGGAGCTCATCCGATGAGAGGAGGCATCACGCAGGTCCCCAGCCAGCTGCCCAGTGCAGACACGTCCCTGCTGGCACAGGACACCAAGGGGCTCCGGCTTCAGCAATAAACAAAGCAGGCAAACCAAACAGAAAAAGCCAACAATGATCAATTTTGTGAAACTTTAAATATTTTTTTTTCTTTAAAATCTGTTTTCCTCCGGGGCTCTGTCTCTGTAAAAGCTGTGCTCTCCCTGCAGCGCCTGGGGTTAGTTCCTCAGTCCTGGCCGTGGGGCGAGGGAGAATCAGGGTCAGTTAGAGAGGGGGGGACCAGCTGGGCGCTCCCCTCGGTGCATCACCGGCACGTATGGATTTCCACCACCCGATGGCAGGGTTTGCACTTGACGGAGCAGCACCAGTGGAACTTGCAGCTGCACCTTTCCACAACCTCCACTTCGTCCGTATGAAAGCCCCGGCCGCAGCACATCAGCTCGCAGCCGTCGATGGCTTTGGAGGTCTTGTTGCACTGCCGGCCGCTGGTGCCCAGCACCCCGTTCTTGAGGTCGTGGTCACAAAAGTCAGGACTAGAGTCCAGGTAGACGAGGTCCTCGTCTGTGTGCGGCTTGAACTGGGAGTTTTTGGGCACCAGCACTTTGGTGGATCCGATCTCGCTCTGCTCGACCTCCGTGGCGCCGTCGAATTTCTCCTTCAGGACGTTGCCCACTTTGCGGAAGGGGGGCATGGCTTTCCAGCAAGTCTTGAACTCGCACGAGCCCGACACGCCGTGACACTTGCACTCCACCCGCATGTTATTCAGGATCGCCTGGAGGAACAAGGCACGAGAGGGGATGGTCAGCTCACAGTATCACAGTATCACAGTATGCTAGGGATT